TTTTTTATAAAAAAGATATAAAAATTTTTTTTTTTGGGATGGGGGGGGGCTCTCCTTTGTTAGGAGGGGAAACGCCGGCTGACTCAATTGGCTTACTTTCCATAAAACTTTAAAATCTCAGCTGGTACTTTTGTGTTTGATCTTCTGCTGGACTGAATCCTAATTGGGGAGAGTCAGAAACTTTCAAATTTTGCTAACAACAACACATGTAAAAAGGCCATGGGACTTCAGTTGCCTGGTTGTGGCTGCCATCTTGACATTTTGGACTCCCCCCTCTCTGCAGGTGGCCCTGTAAACTGGGTACAAGTCCCATCAACACAGTCTTTCTCTTAAGCCACATCCCAATGAGGGAGGAAAAACGCTTACATTACAGCCGAGTTCACTCAATATACATAACCTGGTCAGTTGAAGACCTAGCAGCTGTAATTCCACAACGTGCTAAACCTGGTTTGTAGTTTTTGTAGCTTAGCAAGTTGTGTAAACCCAGTTTGTTTGCTGATAGTATGATTCAATGTGCTGGGTTAATCCAAGAAGGGTTTAAGTCAATCACCTGTTTAAACCTGTTCAGTGGCAGTTTGGTAGGAAGCTGGAGTCCCAACCCAACCTTTTCTTAAACCAGGAACAAGCCCCATTTAATTTAAACTCAGTTTTGAGTAGATAAACAGGGAGGTCACAGGTTGAGGGTTTTTTTTTTTCAGATTAGAAAAGTTGAAACCTTGCACGCTATTGTCCCAATTGGGCTAAGAAAAGTATTGCCATATATTTTCCAGATGTGTTGACTGGGTTTTTTTTTTTCAGATTAGAAAAGTTGAAACCTTGCACGCTATTGTCCCAATTGGGCTAAGAAAAGTATTGCCATATATTTTCCAGATGTGTTGACTGGTAATGACGGAGTTGAAATTCAACCCTTACGGATTTTATTGATTTATTTTAATCAGTCTTTGGTATGACTTCCTGCCTGAAAGTGCTCGATAGCTCCGGCTTCAGCAAGCTTGCCTGGTTGGATGGCGAAGGACGTAGCCGTGGCTTGTCGGAAGATGCAGTCCTGGTGGCGTATGACGGCGTACGTCGGGGGTGGACGCCGGAGCGCGGCGCATGCCGGGAGTTGTAGGCTGAGTTCTCTCGATGGGAAAGCCTGTTGCTGCAGCCCGGCCTGGAGCTCCGCCCTTCGGTCGGGATTGAGAAGCTGAGGGCGCGCCGACTGGCTCGCTCGCTCGCCCGCCCGCCCGCAGCCGGTTGAGATTAGTTCCGCTCCCTTACCTGGCCGTCGCCCGGGGGTTCCGCGGAGCCATTGGTAGCCTAGCGTGGGAGCGGCGCGGAGCGGCTCGGAGGCAAGTAAGGAAAGAGCCGGCGGTTGGAGGGGCGAATCAGTGGTGGGAGGGCCCGTTTGGAGCGGAGACGGGGGGAAGTGAATTTGATTCTGTGTTTCGGGGCGAGCGGTTTGAGAGAAAGCGGGATAGGCGGGAATGAGGGCAGGGTGGATGCGAGACTTTCCTCCCCTCTTGTTTGTTTATACGACTTATAGGCCCCCAGACTCCCAGCGACTCTGGCTCGTCCTCTTTTAACGGCGGTAGGTAGGAGTCGTTTCAAACAGCCTGGTGGCTGGAGGCGGGGAAAAGCTGCACTTGTTGAACTGCAGCCCAAAGTTCAAACCCATCAGGGGATCATGGCAGGGCCACTTGGTCGTTTTGAACGAGGTTAAAGAGGGAAATTGCTGAATACCTATTGCACTGTATTTATTACGTTTTAAAATGAGACTGAATCAAATTTAGGGATCCCCACCCCGGTCATGCTGTGCTAGCTTTTGGTGCGCAGCCCCCGGCGTGCGTTCAGAAGCAAGGGCGCTCCTTCGCTTGAAGAGGCTGGGGGCCCTTCCGTAGACATAGCGGTTGAAGCGTTGGTTCAGAACTGGGGAGACTTGGGTTCAAGTCCAAACGCAGCCGCGGAAGCCAAGTGGGCTTGTAGCTCAGCCTGACCTACCTGACTACTCTTTGGGGATTAAATGAAGGGAGCCACCTGGGCAGAAGGTGAGGTAGAAATCTAAATAGTCCAAACCCTAAAAGAATTGAAAATGTGAACAGTAAATCAACCCACCAGATCTAAAGGGAAAGAATAGAGGGGAACCTCCAGCAGGAGCGATACAAAAAATAAGTGGCCAATCAGGTCCCACTCCTGAGCTGATTCCCAGCATTTACATTCTTACACTTTCAATAGTTACTGGGGTGACCAGGACAGCTTACATTTCCAAATTGACTTGATGCTGAATAACTAATTGGATATGTCTGGACAGGAGTATGAATGGTAACCTAAAATTGCTGTACAGGGAGTCCTTGTTTAGCGAGCACAATTGGGACCAGCAACTGGGTCGTTAAGCAAAGTGGTCGCTAAGTGAAACAACATGATTTTACGATCTGACTTCCACTTTCCTTGGCTTTACAGAGCTGTGAAGGTCATAAATGCAAGGATTGGTTGCAAAGTTACTTTTTCATCACTGTTGTAACTGCAGTCGCAGCTGTGAAGGTCATAAATGCAAGGATTGGTTGCAAAGTTACTTTTTCATCACTGTTGTAACTGCAGTCGCAGCTGTGAAGGTCATAAATGCAAGGATTGGTTGCAAAGTTACTTTTTCATCACTGTCATAACTTCAGACAGCTACTGTGCGAGGCGGTTGCTAAATGAGGACAGCCTATAAGGCAGAGTTCTAAAAGGTGGCAAAGGAGTTTTTCTTTCTCCCATCGCTCAGCCCACCAAAGACCCAGCTCTCCGTTAGAGGTCACAAACCCACAGCAGACGATGCTTTCTAATGGTCATTTTCAGAGCGCGATGCTCATTTACCCAGTGGGGCCCTTCCCTCGTCACGGAAAATCCGGCTTCAAGGCTCTGGGGAAAGAAGTTCTGGTTTAACAATTTTGCAACTCCAAGCTTGGCTTCAATGGAACGGGAAGAGCAGCCAGGAAGGGAGGCTTAATGTTTTATTACATTTTCATCCGGCAGCAGATGAGATCCTCCGCTGTGGCCTTGCTGCAGGCCAACTGAGTGAGAGCTGTTGAGCCAAGGACATTCGGATAATTCCTTTGGTTGAGTCCCTCTGGGGAGATTTGAATCCAGCTCTCTCCCGTCTAAATCCAATGCTCTAGCCCCCAAGCTGCCATCCTGGCTAAGCATTCTGGGCAATTCTAGGCTGCCAGTCTAGATACGCCATGCTTGTAGTTGTCTTCTCCTGGGGCCCCACAAGGCAGAGATGTGGCCCATGTTGCGGTTTACACTCCTAGCTCACCAGCTCTGCAGATCTGGTAACCCTAAAATCTGGCAGCATTTATCAAAATTCAGTTGCACTAATCGTACCTATTGTCCATTTTAAAACTAATAAACAAACTTCGCTCTCTATCCCTGTAAAAAAAGCTATCAATGTGTACCTTAGCAGGTTGCCTTTCCGATGTGCTTGGGTGGTAGATCCTATCACCAGCAGTGGCTCAGCATGATGGGCCATGTAATCGAAATACATGCCCCCCCCTTTTTTTGTCTTCAGATGTCCTGGGATTTTTAAAAAAGTGGTATAACTATTTCTTTCCCTGTCCTGTTTTGAACCAGCAGCTCTTTACAGGTAGTCCTCATTTAGCAGTTGCCTCATTTAGCGACTGCAGTTACAACAGTGATGAAAAAGTAACTTTGTGCCCAGCCCTCGCATTGACAACCTTTGCAGGTCTGTAAAGCCAAGAAAGCTGAAGGAAGATCATAAGCACAGGAGTGGTTTCACTTAGTGACTGCTTTGCTTAATGACTGAGTTGCTGGTCCCAATTGTGGTCACTAAACAAGAACTCCCTGTAATTTCTCAATCAAGTTGAGAAAAACAGCTTCAGCACAGCGATCGTCCCTGGCACACTCTGACGTCCTCAGCGTCTCCAAATAGGGCTGGAAGTCTCTTGCCTGAAATTGAGGTGAGGGGGAGAGAGGAGCAAGCTATTGCCATGCATGGTGTACTTACCCATGGTTAACATAACCTTGGTTTATACATTAACCCGATTTTGGGAGGTTCACCTAACACACTGAACTATAAACTAATTGGGCTGGGCTCACACAAGGTACAAAATAAAATTGTGGTTGGCTTGTTTGCGGTTCCATGTGCTGGAAAAATTCATCCAGAATGGACAGTAGACCACTGGTCTGGCTTAGGAGGCAGCTTCCTTCACTTCCATCTCAAAGGAGCCTAAAATGCAACCCTAAAACCAGGAATTGATGATAAGGTCATTTAGCTTCTTCCGTGGATCTGCCTTTCACTTAGTGGAGCTGCTTGTTGTATGTCTTGAGGCAGGGAGTTCCATAGGTTAACAAGGTACTGCTTGAAATGCTTCTTTCTCTACCAGAAAAAAAGATTTTGGGGGTTTGGGACTAGGTGCAACCCTGGATGTCCTGGGAATCTGAGACTCAGAATCTTTTCTAATCAGACTTCTGTAATTAGCAGAGTTAGGGAAAAAGCGTTTGGCCCCACAGCAGAGTGCCCCTAAAGTGAATAAAAGCTACAGGACAAAATTATTTTTAGGAGTGTACAAAACATGCTCAGACCAGTTCTTTTGCTCTCAAAATGGGGTATTTCACACTGGAGATGGGCTGTTTGGGACCTGAGACAGGGTGTTTCGTATTTGAAAACAGGCAGAAATGAAACGTTTTGCCCTTCCTGGTGTAGAAGATCATGCAATGGGCATGGTGCAATTTGACATGCGTTTTAATGGCGAAGGGGGGGACGCCTGCTTTGGTCAGACCTGGGCATCCCCAGTTAAAAGGAGCAGCTGGAAGAAGGTAGCAAAGCCTTTGAGGTCTTGGTGCTCGAGCAGGCTTCGCTGGGTTAAGGAGACAACCAACCTGATCTTCGGCAGTAAACCCAGGGACCTCCGGTTGTTGATGGAACCAATTCTCTTCAGCATGGTCAGCAGCGACAAGCGCAACCGACGCTCAGCTCTATCTCCACACTCAATCGGGTCATTTTTATGGCCGCTTTTCAGCTTGGGGAGCTGTCACGATCTTTCCTGAATGCCATCCAGTTGGCACTTGAAGAGCTCAAGCTGGTGCTGTTGGAAACAGAAACTTGTTATGACTTTGGGTATTTCCAGTTTACTCCTTTTTTTTTTTTTTAAGGCAATTAAAAAGAAATAAAAAACCAAAGGCCAACTGGGAGGAAGGAAAGGAAATGTTCCTATTGTTTGAGATAGGCTGAGTCAGACCCATTGCGTCATCTCTCTGGTTCCTGCTGCCCCTCCGAGATGCAGCGGTTGAGTTCTGGACTTTGCCCCCTCATCCAGAAGGTAGCATAGGATTGCCCTGGTTGTGGATACGGCTTTGAAAAGCAGGTACTTCTCTTTTCCTTCATTTCTCAAGTTAATTTTTATATCCCAGCTACAGTCTTAGCTTGATTGGTTAGATTGGGGACATCTCATTAGATTTAAGCAAAGGTGAACTGCCGTTTAGGGAAAAAAGCCTTCCTTTTTGTCTTGAACCTCTTTGTTGAATGGTTGCTGGAAACAGGAGGCGTGCTTATTTTTTCAAAGCTTCACAGGCAGGTCTGGTTTCTTAATTTGTCTTAAAAACGCATCAGCTCTCTTAAAAAAAAAATCGGACAGGGGGGGAGAATGATTATATATGTGTCCACCTTCCATTTTTTCTGGGTTTTTCAGTCTAGGAGAAAGAGAAGTTGGCTGTCTATATGACACTACTATGGACCTGGGCAAAATTCTTAAGACAGAGTCTGCCCAGCGCAAGACATGTTTGAAACTAGTACTTCCCATAATTTGGAAACTATGTTTTTATTGGTACTGTCTTAAACAGCATTTATCCTTTTTAGCAACTGTGTAACGTTGCTGACTTATGTTCAGCTTGTGATCAATAAACATTTAAGAGTGTTTCTCAACCTCGGCAACTTTAAGACGTGTGGACTTCAGCTCCCAGAATTCCCCAGC